GACGCGAAAGAGGAAGGTTATTGCACGAATAGTGAGGTCATGACAAATGTCACTCTACGCGGAGGAATCTCTACAGGACGATTTCGGGATCGGGGCAAGGTCCCGAACATGAAGGCATGCGTGGAAATATGCTGCATTTCCAAGACCTGTGATGTGGCATTCCTGCTAAAAAACAACTGCTTTTCTGTCACATGTTTCAACGAAAGACTCTGCGAAGCCGTAAGGGCACGTTCGTCAATCTATATTCCGAAAATTGTTTATATTTATGCGAGGACTAAAAGCGACATAGTCGCTCCAACTAAGAAACGCCGGAATAAGCGTTTAAAAAGACGGACTAATGAAGATCAATTTACCGAGGTCGGAGCAACAAACTTCAAGCGAAGAGTAGGCAAGGACAGATTTAAACGCCAAGTGCACAGGAAGGCAGAAAAAAGAAATAGGTACAAGCTTGATCAAAGGGTTGTTTAACTTTGAGTATATCATATAAAAACGATTTAGTATATTTTCCATAGTATATATGTAGTACTGCGTAAGACGGACAGGCGCTTCACAACTTTGTTCTCAGAGGCTAACAACATATCCGGGCGATAAACGAACTTAAAGGAGTTACATCACGGTTTCCGCAACTGGAAAAGTTTAGACTAAAGTTGTAATCCGTATTAATCTTCTCCATCCTTAACAATCTTTGTCCCTTTATGGTTTATTATTATCTCTTTGGTGTTTTTCTACCTTAGTTAACTATTATTTTCAGGTTTCCTTCAATTTAAGGGTAATTTTGTCCGCGCCCAAAATAACTCAAAATGCCGTGACTGAACTCCTTTGATTACATGTGCACAGTTAAACCAGAACAGGAATTTCTGGTTCGAGTTTTAATTTCGTTTTGCATCGTGATAACATATTGGAAACCGACCAAGCCACCCTGTTGTGTTGCATGGCACGCAATACGTAGTCTTTGTAACAGAGGTTGCCCTGAATTATAGGAGGTTGCTAGGCCTCGAAATTTCATATAATTATCATAATTATTCTGATACACAGAATTATTTCCAGATTGAAGGTACTGCTCAAGATAATAATTTTTAAGAAAGGAAAAAAAGCAATTTAAATGAACACCAAGGAAGTTTATTTATGACTGAGGGAAGATTTCGATGCGCAGACCGCGACAGACCTTTAACAGTAAATTTCATGTTCAGTACACCACATGATTAAAACAAAAAAAGTGTCGAATATAGAAATCAGCTTGTCAACCTGTTTCATTTGTTAATGGCTTTACATGTAAAAACAAAAAATATAAAAAGAGACATTCACAAAAATGACTATGAGCTATTACCTCAGGGCCGTAGCTAGTAACAGGCTTGCCTCAGTCTTTTTTTTTTTTTTCGTTTTTGTTGTTTACAGTCATCATAAACACCCTTAATACCAAGGAAGGTAATTTAAAAATTGTAATAGTCTCAGTTATAATTTTGTTTCTGGCTACGACCCTGTATTATCCCCTATTTGTTTTCATATTCTATACTCTTGCTTTACACCATGTCAACACGAAACAAGTCCCTTTCCATCAGCCTTGTATTCGTACGATTTATATGTATAAGTATATGGTGGACATGTATAGCTTCCAGTGAAAATGGTTATCAACGTTGTCGATTCGAATGAAAAAATTTAGCCACGTAATCCATTCAAACCCCGAGCAAGGGGTGGACTCATTACGATCAGAACATTATCGTACTTAAATCAAAACAAAATTATTACGCAGATGTTGATGAAATGAAAATGGGTAGGTTCTTTACGTTCATTGGAGGCTAGCAGTGTGCAAATTTGTTTTCCCTGTAAAATTTGCCTCGGGATCGCAGCACAGGGTACAAGCCTTTATCATTAAGTCGTTGTATAAATACGCACGCTCATAAAGAGTTTTCAAAGGGAAATATTGCACAACAGTATTTCTCTGTCACAGTTATCATCTACTTTTCGAAAATACGCTTTGAATTGTCTAAAATCTAAGGAAACCAGAAGCTAGAAACTAGGAGAAACAAGAAACCAGAAACTAGGGGATTAAATTTAAGGAAAGCTGACGTAAACATAGACGTCACGGCCTTTAAAATCCGGGATGTTAGCTATATTTTTTTCTGTTGCTAATTTTCATTATGCTCTAACTATACGTGTTGGTTCAAACGGGCTTCTAACGACATGAACAGTCAACAAAATTTGCGCCAATTGTAACTGCGGGAACAAGTAACATTTTCTTCTCAGAACAGTTCTTGGCCTGACAAAACTTCTGACCTTGTAAACCATGTAACTGTAAAACAAGCTGTATTTTTCATAGCTCTTTGATATACTTTTCTAGCATAAGTTTGTACAGATGTAAGGTTTTGTATTTAAATTCTAATTGTTAAATAAAGGAACCAAAGAGGGACCGCTATGTCATTCCGTGGACTCATGATAACCTCATGATGTGATGTTTCTTACGACCAGCTCGGTCATTTGCTTTGGTCACAGTTACATTTTTGTAACGTAGCCAACTCCAAGTACTCCCCGAATGTGACCATCTCAAGGTTACCGTCCCTTTCTTATGGCTCATTCTCTGAATATTTCAAAACAAGTACAATCATAATACTATTACTTCGTTTGAAAGGCCATCTCAGTGTTTATTACAGTCACTTTTGTTTCCCTCCATCTTCCCCAACCCCTTCTCCAAAGAAACCAGTCACTTTCTTTATTAAAAAGCCTGGGTTTTGTGTTTTTCGACGGAGACAGGGTAAACGGCCTTAGCTAGGCTCGGGAAATGATTGGAATTGTGACAAATTGCGGATGTATTTTCGTATTTCACTCGTCACCATTTGATTAGCCATGCCCATAATACGAATAATTCGCACGTCAATCGGAAGTATGAAGATATACCGACAGTATTGGCTGACCTTTTGTCGCCTTATCATCTCTTTTTAATACGTAATGATATTCTGAGACGCTTCAGATGCGTGTCTACTAGTAAGATAAAAACAGAAAGCTGGATGATCCTTGGCTCCCGGTCGGCGAACAACACGTCTTAGAAGCGCTGCACGGCAAACAGTTCGGGATTCAGTTATGATTAAGCTAAATTGAGTAATGAACCCTATTATTACCACGTTTTGTTTTGGTGCCTTGCAATCTCATGGCAATACATGAGTAAACTTCCAGCCATTTGCAGGGCAAGGAGGTCTAAGGGCGCGTCCTCCGGAAAACCGCAGTACGTTGTATGGTGCGTTGTGCATTCTATATGTACTGCATCTCTGTATCCTGCAACTGGTCGTACGCGTATACCGATACAAGTCAAGGTGAAAGAAAGATTTTTCTGTGTAGCAATCATAGAGATTGAAATATAGCAGCTAGTGCAAAATAAAGTCGCCGGAAATCTCTTCCATTACGTCTTCAAATAATATTTGTTCAATTTTGCAATATGCAAAACATCTAAGCAAAACATTTTTAAACTGCAACCGTAAACCAGAAGTACAGCTCTTACCACCAATTTATCCATTAACTTTGTGCAAAAATACCGTCTAACCTTACTTTGCGATTCTAGGGAAAACAACTTTTCGACTTTTTTCGACTGGGCGGTTTGTTGCCCCATTTCAGACCATGTGATGATACTCTTGAGAATTCTTGCTTTCAAATTTTCAAATAGTCGCCTGCTAAAGAAAGAATAATTTTTAGATGGATAAAAGAACAATTCTCTAGATAATATCAAGTGGCCTGTAATGGGAAAACAAACCGCCCAGGCGAAAAAGGTCTATTTCGTGCTGTTTGAACATGTACACGGTTTAACTTATTTGGACTAATTGAAAACTTTGTTTATACAAGGGAACTTAACCAGCTGTAGGGCAGGTGAGATTATGGCCCTCGAATGCGATATATAATAAAACTACATGGACACAAATACGTACACATTATTTGAAACTTGATAAGAGCCAATTAACACGTTCTGAGACTTATGAAACAGTATGCAACTAGGAAACACCGCACAACCGGAGGTTAAAAATCTATTTCCATTTTACATTGAAGTTTTTGCTCTTTGTTCGAAAAACACCCACCCGAGCAACCTGTTGCTCCTGTGTCGCGCGCTAATGGGTCATCAATAACAACACGCCCTGTGCTTTCAAATGGCTTTGTTTGCCATGGTAACAAAACAATGATTGGCACGTGTTAAAGTCACCGGTCTGCTGCTTTATACAAAAATCTTGGGTGGATGGCTTTTGTTGCATAGGAAATGAGCCACACCACGTGGAATGACAAATCAGCTCAACTACCCTCCCAGATCCTTTTACAGCGCAACAAATGAATTGTCGCTGAGGATGTCTGTTCCAAAGTGGTAAAATCTCGAAAGCTAAAATTTGAGTTACTTTCGAAAGCAATGAGACTTGGAATTCTTCCGCTTTACCTGGTTCAGGTTGTTTTGGTTTTCAAGTTGTCTCGCGGTTTAACCGGTAAGTGGATGTTAAAAGTGGTTCACTAAGCAAAATGAGCGTGTTTGACAATATCATTTGAGGTCTTACTGACTAATTTGTTAAGTTCTTAACATATATTTTGAGATACAAATACACTACAAAGCTAAACAATTCAAAATGCTTCCCGTAAAACAAAAAATATATATTTTGTAGCCATCAGGAATTATTATAAATGCACGAACAGTCTTCCAGACAGCAAGCGTAATTGTAAACTGTTTTCCACAGCGAAAAATATCGAGTGCTGAGCCAGTTTAGAGTAACAATCTGAATATAAGACTTAGTTCCCTCCCATTCTTTTTTCAAGTGTGAAAATTATGACCTCAGGACATGTTGGGATTGTGCTGGAAGCAAACTGATATATGCCACCATAAGCTGCTATAGAGAAGAAATTCAGAACATATTAAAATTGTTTAGAAAAATTGTTCTTAAAGGGGACCGTAATACGCTTAAGAATACCACAATTAGTAAATATCAGATACGTTATAGGCCCGCTTGTACTAGAGCTCTGCTTCTGATAATATAATGGCATAATGACGCCGCGGTATACTGACATGCAGCAGTGTTCGCCACGAAAAGGAGATTTGATGACAGTTAAAATGACATATATTTTTTTGTTGCTTCTCAGAGGAGAGTTTAGAATCAGAAATAACAAATGTGCGACCTTTGAAATGCCCGCACGGGCCTATACTAACTAATGTTACACTGCGGCACGAGCTGCGAGCGGGAAAATTCTCTCGGCTCGGCATGGCGGCGGACATGGATACCTGTATACAGATGTGCTGTGAGAGAGATGACTGCGAGATGGCTTTTATGCCCGGGAAACATTGTTATGGTGTAGACTGTTTCAGTCAGAAACATTGCGAGATTACGACACTCAAACCTGGTAACTTAACCGTGAAGATTGCAGCAGTGCGACCGATTGCTGTCAACCCGGCTAAGGACCAGATTGCAGGTGTGTTAAATATTTATCGGTATGGAAAATGTGCAGAGCAGAAGTGAAAACTATTGGTGGGGCTTTGTTTGGGGACTGCAGAAGTTCTTCCCCTATCCTTCCCTACATGTTGTAAACCAAGATCGTGCAATGTTTCAGCGATATTGCACCATTTTATTTCTCTTTCTATAAGATGCCTTGATCATTGGTCAGCCTAAACACCGTGTTTAGATATGTGGTGGCATAATGAAGATCAATTTCCTTCTTTCCTTCTTCTTGAGAGTCCAAAATATAATCCGCGTCTCAGGCGCGTAAATCATTATGATAGTGAAATCAGTTTACACTCACTGCGAACTTGTATTCTATGTTACAGTCTCTGTGGAAGATCCGTCGACCCAGGAAGAACTGCACTGCACACAGAGTCCAATCTTGAAAAACGTTACACTCAGAGGAGGTATAAAGGCGGGAAATTTCAGCGACCTGGGCGACGAGAAAAACATGCACATGTGCATTGCGCTCTGCTGCGAACGAAAAACATGCGACCTGGCCTTCATGATAGGAGGGACATGCATTGCAGTGGATTGTTTTAGCGAAGAGCTTTGTCAGGCAGTCAAAGCGAGGCCCACAAAATATGATCCTCAGATAGCGTTTATCAGGCGTCGGGAGCTTCAGAGACCGGCGAGAAAAGGTACATAGAACGGTCCTGGTGTTTTAGTGTTTGAGTTTTAAAAAGTCATTTAATTTAGCATTCAGATTTTGCGTTTACGAAGCTGGGTTCCTTGTTTCTTCTAACTGTTTATCGCAAAATTTTCATAACATTTCAGTCTAAAGAAAATCTTTGACTAGAGTGTTGTCTTAATTGATTAACCGCAAAATTCTCAGAAATGATTTTCTTTTTAAATGTATCTCGATGGTTAAAATAATTTCTATTTTGATATTGGACTAAAATGGGATATCTTTCTTTTCTTCTCAGCAAACGTCTTGCCAACGGCGCCAAGCTCAGAAGTACCAACGATGAAGATACATGAGATAATCAGCGACAAACTACCCCACCCCACCATACTGAAAACAAGTACTTGCTCAGCCAGCAAAATCTACCCAAACGTCACGCTACTAGGAGGGATTAAATCCGGGAACTTCACCTCACTTGGCAAGACAAAAAACATGCAGGAGTGTATTGGCAAGACATGTGAACTTGGGCGCGGTGACCTGGCCTTCATGCTGGGAAGCTATTGTTATTCCGTGTCTTGTTCTAGTGGCAGGGTATGTCAGACGATTCCTGCTCAACCATCCAAGTTCTATCCCAGGATAGCTTTCCTTAAATGGGCTCCGAAAATAAACGAGACGGGTAAGATGAAGGGTGTTGTTATTTACTTCTATTTTTTAGCATTGGGAGTTGGACTTAAATTGTCGTGTTGAAGTCGAAGTGGTGGTGTTTGAGTTTTATCATCGGAGGGAATTTAATTCATGAAATTTGAATGATTGTAGAATTCAGTGCGAATTTAACATTAAACTAATTACTGTGGGAAACATAATGGAAACGCTATTGTTTTTACATGCACACGTGAACGGGCCGTTGTGAGGCCTATACTGGAGAGCATCACGTATTTAATCAATTCTTATGCTGTAAAGTATATCTTACATCAGTCATTTGAGCGATTTTTCTTTGGTTTTGTGCTTTAATGAACAGGACTTTTCCAGCAAATGTTGTGCCCCTGCCGCGCTTAACCTACCGGCAGGTCGCGGTTTCGCTCCCCTCCCCCCCACCCCCCCCTCCCTGCGTGTGCCCCAAGAGTGAACCTGTTCTCAAGCTAAGCGTGTACATGCGCGATGCAGGTCAAGGTTTTGCTTTGCAGCATTGCATTCATCGTCTTTTTTCCTGAGTTTTCACATTTCATACTGCATGAGCAAAAGTGTTTACCCGCGCAAATTTCACGGGCCTTCAGCTAACAATTCTGGGTAAAAGAATTTCTCAACTCTAGAAATGAAAAAATCGCCCTGGCCGCCATGTACTTTATACCCACTCCGGAGTTACACATACAAAGATAAATAATACAATGATACAATATATTTATACAGTGCAAATTCCATAAAGTAAAGTTCAAATGCGCTTTACAATATAAAGTAATTAAAAAGGGTAAAACTTACCCCAATGAGGTAAATTTACACAGTAAAAATGGAAAACAGGAAACAATAAATAATTAAAATACCAGGTCAAAACAGTGATGAAAAAGATGTACTGCTACTACGAGAAACATCGCACATCGCAAACATCGCACATTGCATCGAATAAAACCATCTTACGAACTCACAACGGGACCATCTCAAAGTTGGTAGAGCACTGCACCAGTATCGCAGGGGTCATGGGTTCGAATCCAGTTCAAGCCTAATTTTTTTTCCAGACTTTAATTTCACAACTGCATTAAGTTGTGTGTATAACTACGATGATCAATCATATCTTCATATCCTTCTCCGCACATGGTTCAATTATATGACCTTACATATATTAACTTGTAAAACCAATTGTTTCGATGGGAATAAGAATTTGCTGCTTTTATCTTATCACAGAGCTACTTGAGGACGAAGGCGCCGATTACACATCAATCCCAAAATGCACCCGTAGCCACATTTTGTACAACCATACTTTATTAGGCGGTCTTAGGGCGGGAAACTTCACGCACATAGCAGAAGTGGACAGTATCGAGACATGCGCAGCGCTGTGTTGTGCCGAACAGACATGCGACCTGGCCTTGGTGCTGGGAGAGAACTGTTACGCAGGGGACTGTGCGAGTAAAGAACTTTGTGTTCCCGTACCTGTCAACCCAACAGCCAATAGGGGCTCACAGATTGCTTATATCACCTCAAGAAAAAAAGTAGAGGAACCCGGCACAGGTCAGTAGCGCTAAATGAAGTCTTTAATTTCCCAGATTAACCCGAGATTACTTTCATTTTCTTAACACTAGCACCATTTCACTATTTGTAACACTATTTTGATCTGATAAAAAGGACCATAAAGTCTTTCTACAGGTCTCCCTACATTTCTCTTAACAGTAGCTGGGAAAATTCAGTTGTTAACGCCAACCAAGAAAAGTCCCCTCATGAAATTTACTGACGTTCTATAGCCAATACGTACATGTAGCTACGTATTAAATGAAAATTTATGCAAACCACATTTTATTCTTATTTTCTAGATTGGAGTCTGTGGTATATCATAGTTGGCTCTATCGCTATTGGTATTGGTATAACTGGAATAATGTGGACTGTCTGTACCTGCTGGCATCGGTAAGAGTCCCAAGGGAAAATTTGTAACGCTGTTCTCTTTCTCTTATCGTATGGACGTTAGGAAAAAGCGAGCTAATTTACATCGGAATAAAAATCTCCTGAGAAAAGACTAAATGATATATTAGTTTCAAAAGAAATTTCTGTGTTGTTTTTCGGCAATTTAAACAACTGTAAACTACCCTAAATGGAACTTGATGATATGCCGCAGGCTACGAATTTGAGTTATGTTTCACTTGTCATATAGGCCTGGGAAATGTGAGGCGGTCGACTCTCGAAACCTGTCGAAATCTCATTCAAATCAGGAATCAGAAGAAACAATTTGTATCCAAAATACTGATTCCTATTTTATTGATTGTAGAGGACGGCGTTTGCGCCCAAAAGACGAACCGAGTGATCGGTTCACCATGATGAATCAGTGCGGCGACTCACCACAAGGATTAGAAATGCTACCACAAGGATGGAATCTTCAGCAGTTTGGTCAACAATACAATAAGTCAGGTAAATGAGGCCCCGTCCGAACTACGCCGAAGGAATTTCAACATTTCTCCGGTTAGACCTTCCGTCCACACTAACCCGTTACGAAAATTAAGCTTTTCGTATTTGAAAACGCTTTGTGAAGCTTTTCAAAAACGATAATATAACGCTAATTATAATATTCGCCTGCCCGAGGTTTACTCAAACACAAATCCGCGATAAACGGTGATGGTTGCTTTGGTTACTCCGTCGTAGTTTGGACGTAAAACATTTGATGTCGATGCGTTTACAGAGTGAAACCTCCGTTTTCAAATTCCTTCGGCGCTGTGTGGGTGGGGCCCAAGACTTCTATTCTCGCATTCCTTACAAAAAGATGTGTTTAAAAGTTTTATTTCTCGTTTTCAGTAATTTAACTCTGCCTTGGACCACTCAAATTTTCGCCGCTCGCTCCATATTTTTATGAGCGTGTTTTTGTTCCGTCAAAGAATCATAATTTTGAATTAATGTGCGTCTTTTCTAATCTTTCAACCTCCATTATTGATTAAGTTTTCTTTGAATTGATTTTATTCCGCTGTTTTCTTCAGGAAATTTAAAGTGTTTGAAGAATGGCCCGATGTTTTTAAGTGACACTGAGAGTGATTCTGATGACCATGACGATACCGAGGTCCCACGTCGAAATAGAATGCCGTGGGTTAGGGAGCCGCAGTCCCTGAAGAAATCCCTCGGTTACAACGGACCTCCACCTCCTTACACCGTGGAAAGAACTAACGGACCAAGCATCGTTAGCTTGGATGTTAAGGCAAGAAGAGCTATGCAGAACTTATAAAGCGAGCACTGACTAAAGAAAAATGTTCATGCACTGCATCTCATACAAGCCATAGCTATAGAGTTTAAGGGAGGGGGATATTCTTTACTTTTAGCATGGTTTCAGACAATTAACCGTTGTGGCGGCTTATCTCAAACTAAACTGTTGATAGGTGGTTCTTACATAAAACTGAAGGTTTGGTTCACGAATTAGTGACTGAATGATTGCTTTCTATCTTATACGAAAGAACATGATTTCTAGATTCATCCTCGTTGAAGATGGGAATGTTATTTAACATTCAATCCTGTCACTATCTTTGAAGTTCCTTTGAGTAATGTTGGGCATCAAGTATCTATGTCATAGAGTTTCTAAAAATAGAGTAGGCTGAGCCGTGAGCAGAAGTCTCTCCCAGTTTTGTTGCGCTCAACTCCACTTCATCCATGATTGAGACGTTTGAGTTGCGATATGCTACGAATTTCTACGATACGTTCATCTACAGAGTATCGGCCCAGTGCGATTTGTTAGTGCTACTTTCTACAGCTCAGGTCCCGCGCAAATTGCAATCCACTCGAGATATCTAACAGCTCATCTTATACTTGCATTATCAATAAGGAGTTGGCCGTCTCAAATTATCAGATGTTCCTCGCGGACATGTTCCCCTAATGTAGAAAATGCATTTTTGTAGGTTTTTGTACGCTAACTTTAGATCTCAATTATGTAAATATGGAATCTCCTTAACCAGGGGCGGATTTAGGGAATGGGGCAGGGCGTCACGGCCTCTGTTTGTTTAGGTATTTTCGAAAATTTCGAAGAGACTTCCTAGAATTCTATAAGAAGCATCCCCAGGACAGGGGAATGTTTCATTCGAATGTTTTTTTAGGAGGAAGGGGGGGGGNAGCTGAAACCTGTCTATCTTGTGTACTTTATCTGATTCATAGAACTGGAACAGACATGGTTCAAGCCTTGGTGGTGGTGGTGGGAGGGGAGGGGAGGGGAGGTTGGGACTCCCATATAAATTGCGCTCTGCAGCAATTCCTTCGGTCTCCTCTTTCTGAATTTTCTAAATCTGCCCCTATTATCTAAGATGAGTAGATAGAAGGAAACATTCTAAGTAGATAGTGCTGTCTAAATGATATCAATATTTTAAACGAAATGAGTTAGAATTAAACACTGCTTTTTACAACAGCTGGTTGCGTCTTTTTCTGTACATTTTCCTAACTTCTCCATGCATCACAATGTTGAGTTCTCAAGCGTACCTTATAAGAAAACGTCATCCTGGAGGGATAAGGATTGTGTGACCCATGAAAACGTTTGAATGCAACTTTGACTAAGTTTAAACCTGAATATAGAAATTAAGTACTTGTATTCGTGTGTTCTTTTGCTAACTGCTCACAGGGGACGGAAGAATCCATCCATTGTTCCTGGTGTGCACAGGAATTGCCAATATTAATATATTTTATTTAAATTGCCGGACCCTAAACATCATGGTTGGCAACATGAAGCCATAACATTACCAAACCTTTTTTTATATATATATACCTTAGAATTATTTACTTTTTGACACAAAGGGGTGTAATTGTCGTTTGGCTCATGAAATCACCTTGGATAGACAGTTTCTGCCTGAACCGAAGCAGTAACTCTGAAATTCACATGAAATATTTTCAAAAGGTGTTTCCTGCTCAACTTTTTCGAGAGCATCGAATTTAGAAATATGAACCACTAGAGCCGCAAATTATTGTTTTAATTATAAGTTCGTGTTGCAAGCCATGTTTTACTAGGATTGTACTTAGTTTGCCAGAAGGACAGCCACAGTTATTATTACCGTTTTCTTTTTCTTTCCAATATAGTCCTCGTCTTTAAGGTAAAAAAGAAAAAAAAAAAAAACTGCCAAGTGTTATGCGCGGTAGCGCGGGAGCTTTCCTTCTTTCGGATCGCGAAAAAAAAAAAATATATATATATAAGCAAACTGGGTCGGGTAACGGCTTTCGTAAAGACTCACATAAATGGTTTGGTACACTTAGAGAGGACAATAGAGCAAACAACAGAAACAATGCCCTTAGTCCCAAAGCTATTGCAGCTGCTAAGAAGCAAAACAATTACAAGCCTACAAGAGTTGCTAAACATCTGAAAATAGGACCATCACACAGTGTATAAGATCGCTGGAGGATTCTGTCTCTTTACTGCTTCCCCCTTTCAAGATTTACTGCCAACCCAACTTCTTTATAGAAATACGATTTAGTAAAAGGGTTACCAATGTACAGCATAAGCAGCTTGTTCCGATTAAAGAAAGAACTTCTATCAACCTGCCTCCCTAGCTTCACACAGTCGTGTGAGCTGACGTATCGCCTCGCAGTTTATTTGGGTTGAGTTCTGTGAGATACGAGATAATAGGAACGAAATTTGGCAGCGCGACAATTTTAGGACGAAATCAAGAGTTATATATAGCCTACCGCTATACACGAAAAAAGGGTGGATGGGTGACTGTCTTTCTTTTAGTAGTGGAAACCCACAGAACGATAACTCGCCGAATTCGCGTTAGATCGGCACGAGGAGCTGGCAAACAACAAAGAAGACAACACAGCAACAGGGTAAGTAGATTTTATTCACAAAATATAAGAATAATTGGCTTTTCAAGCAAAGCCGTTGCATTCCCGTACAAACCTTTATAAATTCAAACCGTTGTAACACAACACCTCCATATGCTGCAAGGCGGGAGTCATGTTTCGCGTGGTCAAATTCGGTCGTTATGTAATAGTACATACCATATGTCACGTTAGCCTGAACGTTCGCATAAAAAGGGAAAAAAAAGGATAACATTGAGAGCTTGGGCCGCCTGTGGTTTGTTGAGACCGGATATGCAGCAGATAGTAAAACTGATAACGTAATATGAGCATACAGTAGTAATGGATAGGATTAATACCTTTGACATGAGCCTTAATTGTTGAAAAGGATACCGAGACAACATAGCTAGTAGTGTCCATTGTTTATGGTATCAAGGTCCTTGGCAAGATCGTAATGCACTTACACAATAACAGAATAGCATCTGTGTGATTGAGACATATCGATGGACAGTAATAATAAGCTCTTGTAGTTAACTATACTTTACAAGTAAAGTTTACATTGTTACTACCCACTTTTACCTTGCCCTTTTTAACTTTCTTGCCTTTTAAGTATTTTAAATTGCCTTTGGATGATCCTCGAGGGATATAGGCGTGAAGCAAGGATCTTCCTCGTCACCAAGACCCTCTGTTTGTGACGAATCGAGTTGGCCAGGTCACTCAGCACAAAGTTGTAAACAGAAGTGCAAGCAATGGCGGAAGTGTAATGGCTGTCGAGTTTTGTTCCATTCTGTGGATAATATTCTTCAGTGGAAATGCAATTTCTGCCAAGGAGATTTACACTAATGTCTGGGCCGTGAAAGTCCGTGGTAGCCAGCAGGAAGCAGTGGAATTAGCCGTCAAATATGGTTTATCCTACGACGAACATGTAAGGGATTCTTTGTACATGTACATGTTAAGTGAATCAAACTGGAGTCAATTGCTTAAAATTGCCTCTGAACTGGTCGAGCACTTCGTCGATATCATGAAAGACAATGAAACCCACTTAGTCTTTACAAATATCTACCCTGAGTCAAGTTATTGACAACCTTATTCGAGAGAAGAGGGTAAAAATTCTACAGTATAAGTCTAAGTCTGTGCATGTATCAGCAATGTATCTGCTGAAAGCTCCCTTTAATTTATTTTCAGCTGTTTGAGAACTATCATGTCTTTAAAAAGCCTGAATTAAAGAAAAGCGTAGAAAAGACGCCATTAGCGTCTGGAATTGACAGGAAACTGGATGCAGAATCGAAGGTAGGATAAGTAAACGCTGTCTAGACTGTGGACTGTCTAAGTAACGATTATTCAGTTGAGAGAAAGCAATTGCTGAAGCAACTGATAGCACATGCACAGCAATAATTAAGCAATATACAGTGCATTGTTCAATACAGTTGCCTTATTGAACAGGAAGAAGTATTTTAAACCATACAGACGTATTAAACTAGGGCCGATGCCAGATTGTTGTTCCAAAAATACGAGCTGGTCCGTTAGAATTTTAGCCAAATCTCATGGAACTTATCATCTTGAAGTTATCCTCAACCTTTCTTCGTATTCCCACGATTTTTTGCAGGACTAAGAAAGTCGTAGGCTCGTAGCAAAGATGTTGGTCTCACTATCTAATGACGCACCATTCACACTTCAATCTTTGATGTTGGCTAGTCACATGACCTTGTTTTTTCTGTCTTTTCAGGTTGAATGGTTTATGCATCAAAAGGAGAAAAAGTATAAACTGTTCTCTACAGGTTTTAAAGATCCCATGCTTAGTGATCAGTGGTATATTGTAAGTTTTTCTCTTCAAATATTATCTACATATGTTTTCATTTTTTTTTTAATTTATCTACATGATAATTGAGTTATAGTTGCAGACAATTAATTAATAAATAAATAGGTTTTCTGTAGCATGTGCTGTAATGGTGTTTATGGCTCTTTTATAGACTGACCTTATGGCTATAAATTTTGTCATACTGTCTTCCTTTTTTTTCTGTTTTACTTATAAGTATCATAATTTCTATTTTTTTGTTTCATTTTTCATCTAATTATCTGTATTTAATATACATATTCAATGCTAACGAACTGTAATAAATAATTAAGTATTGCTTCACATTGATTTAATGTAATCTGTTTGGACCTTGGCAACGTTCTTTGAACAAAAACAGACTGACGTGAGACTTAAACCTTAAACATATTTTTATGTTAGCTAATAATAGTTTCAAGTTTCAACTGTATTGCTCATCCTAGCTCTTTTCAAGATTTAAATTTACAGGTTCATTACGTAAGTTAATACATATAATTTAGTATAAATCTACTAGCATTCTATCACGAATGGCATTCTCTGATTGGCTATGCTATGCTCTATCTATTCTGTTCTAGATAGTGAGTAGTGTAGCAGTAAGTGCTTGTTAACAAGCTGGTGGCTGCTTCTTTGCATTTTTGAAGTGTCTATGAAGAGGATATTGATAAAGTTTTGAAGGACAAGTAGATATATACTAAAACAATAATTATTAGATTATTCGCTCTCGATTTCTATGCATGATACTAGTTAACTCGGGCTGTGCCCTCTTCAATTATCGTGCGATATAAATCTCAAGCTCATAATCTAATTGTTAAATATATTTTTTATACAATTTTTGAATGTTGTTATAAAATTTAATCTTGGGGTATTGTTCTTCCTTACATGTAGAGGAGACCTTATGGATCTAATGAGCCAACATTCAATATTATCTCTGCATGGGAAGCAAATTACACAGGGAAAGGAATTCTAGTGGCAGTGGTTGATGATGGAGTAGATGGTAGTCATCCTGAACTAACTAAAAACTATGTAATGCCTTTGTGTTGTTTCTAATTATTTTTTGCAACAATTAGCACTTTATAATGGATCATGTTTGATAACGGAATGTACTGGGACATGTTGTGGAGGCCTTTGTTAGAGTAGAAATGTAGACCCCTAGGCTTGCCCCAGCAGTGTCAACCATTTTTTTATTTGATCCAATTCTTTAAATTAAATATTTAGTTTTCCCTCCCTGACTACATTCCTGAATGATTCCCTATTCTTTTAAATGTTATTCCAGTGGGGTTTAAGTAGCTAGCCTTAGTTACTTCTGACTCTTAGTACTCAGGGCTGTCACTAAGTTTTTAGTCACCTGTAACATTATTCTCCACACCCACAGCAAATTTGTTACTTTATGGGTGGATTCTATCAACAACAGGCAATTTCACTTGTAGCATCAAGCGAAAATCGAGCATATTCAGCTGTAACAGGTGCTGCAGATTACGGCCCTTAATGGCAGCCCTGGTGCTGTGACTTATTTTAAGTGAAGACCTTTACAAGAACAAACCCAGCAGAGTTGATAGAAACCCACCTAGAAGTCCAGAGAGGAACTTCATTTGGTTATTATTATTATTATTATTATTATTATTACTATTTTTTTAGTGACAACAAAAAGTTTATTAAAATCTCCTCAGAAAACCTATTTACAAATCTTCATGCATTCCACTATCATAGACTAAAATTTTGATGAAAATAAATTATTATTATCATTATCATCATCATCATCATCATCATCATGTTTATTATTAATTATGAATTTTATTATTATTATTATTCTATCAGGGGTATCATTAAGTTTTGAAGAAGAAGGGGTTCTCATGACAGAGTAAGCAGGCACTCCTGTATAGACGAGGGCTGAAGGCCTGAGCCTCTAGGGGGGTTCAGAAAAAAAGTTATAAACTTACAGGGTTGAATTTTTTTTTCCCTGCTGATTTTTTTTCATAATTTCTTACTTTAAGTAGCCGCTGGTACTCTGTTCAATGTAGACCGGTGCTGGTACCTGGGACCTCAGCTTCTAATAAAAACCCTGATCTATTGGCTTTGAAGTGTCTGGAAAAATGATTTGTTGTCAGTCTGACTCATCAAAATTTGCTTTCAGATCCACTGTGCATTACATGTATATTTTACCTTAAATTGCCTTCATCTTATTCAGAACTCTACAGCAAGTTATGATTATGTGGATGGAAAGCCTGTTCCTTTTGGAAAACCAGTATCTGGGTAAGTATAAAATGCAGCTATTGCTTAGTTATTTTTTAACTTCTGAAAGTGAAAAAGTTTAGCCCCAAATTAACTTATTTAAATTAGTTAGTGAACTGGTTGTGACCACCACTTGTAAGCGACCACCTCTCCTCAGCGACCAGTTTTCCAAAATACCAAAAGTTTCCAATTCAAATCACAGTATTTGGAACCTCTTGTAAGCAACCACCTCTTGTAAGCAACCACCTCTTGTAAGCTACCACCTCTTGTAAGCGACCACCTCTTGTAAGCTAGGTAAGTAATACATCAAAATGTTTTTAATTATTCCTTTCTAGTCATGGCAATATGTGTGCTGGTGTCATAGCAGGAGTAGCCAATAATAACGTATGTGGTGTGGGGTTGGCATATGATGCTAAAATTGCAGGTTAGTTGAATGTGAATTTTGAGCACTGTTGATTTAAGAATTCATTCGAAATGACTCAATATCCTCAGGAGTTCAGTTATTGGGATCTATTATATGCAAACTTAAATGTCTCTCCCTTTGAATTGATCAAAACACCACAGGTAGGTTAAGCATATATCAACTTAGAAGCAAAGGATAATGGGAAGTCCTTTCATACACCTTACCCCACCCCCCTGTATCAACCCCCAGGCTATACCAGGTAATAAATTAGTCATTACATGTAACCTTAAATGAACATACACCATTTGTACAGATGCCTAAGTAGCTGAAACATTTATGTATGCATTACGGACCTATGATAGTCGGAGTAAGTGCTTACGGCGGTAAATATATCTTATTAACCAGGTGTGAGGGCCGTACTAGGAGATACGATATTCTCCCAGTATGGTCCCAAGCAAGCTTGGTTATGAGAGACTAACATAAGAAAACTGAAAATGTTAAGCCCTGGGCAAACGGACTCGTAAGTAGTCGCAAGTAGCCGCAAGTTGAACTTGCGTAGAGACTTGCGTTGGCGGCCAAACGGACTTGCAAGTTTCTTGCAAGTACATACAAATCGCCGAAAAAAAAAAAATTCAAGGCTACATATCCTCTATTTCATTGGCTAATAGGTTGCTACTACAACGAATGGACGTCACTCAACTTACGTTGACTTGGGTTGGGTGGCCAAACGGTGGAAAACTTGCGTCGACTTGCGCGGGAATTTGATCTCGACCAAAGTGAGCGCAAGTTATGGCAAGTCAACGCAAGTGCACGCAAGGCTTGGCCAAACGGACTCGCAAGTAGACCCAACAGAGATTGTGTGGGATCAATCGGGACAGTGCCCGGTCCAATACTTAGAGAATATTGGACCAGCAAGGGAGCAATCTGATTGGTTCATTTTAGTTTTTGGAATTTCAGTTGTGAGGCACTTAGCATGGAGTAACCACTATGTTAGAATGAATAGCAGATACACAAGAGATTTGTAGTACTGATCGCAAAAAGGGCAATTTATCTTTTAGTTATCTGTAGATTACCTACCTGTACTTTAAACTTGAAAAAAAATTTCAGTCAAATCCCTTTCAGTTATTTCTATCCTATTTCATAAAGTACAAGCATTTATATCGCTTGAGGTTTGTATGCCTTTTTAGTTTTAGCACTTAAGCTTTTACTCAACGAAAACATGCACTTCACCAAAAGAGGGGGGATTAATTTTCTGCGGGGTAAAAAGATGATTCATTAAGAGCTGTTAAAACTATTTTTAGCTTCCTTTTCGTGGCCTATAGAATTGGTACCAATGAAAGTATGGCCGATTGTTTTGACTCCTTTATCATTTTCTCTTATGTCCCAGGGATTCGTCTCTTTGATGATGACATCAAATCGACGGATGTAACAGAGTCCAAAGCGTTAATTCACGCGATAAAGAGTGTGGATATTTACTCCAACAGCTGGGGGCCTGGTGACATGGCTTGGCAAGTGGAAGGACCAGGTCAACTTACCACTGAAGCACTAAAGATTGGCATAAAAGAGGTGTGGTGTGGTGACCTCTTGGTGACCTCAATTCCCCGTTAGGTTCCTAAAGATCGATAATATAGAAAATTTTCCAAAAGTGTCTCAATTACTTTTGTTGCACGTTGTAGGTACATGTACATGCAGCCTTTTAAAATTAGAAATCGTCTTTCTCTCAGACTAGAATAGTTGGAAAAGGAGGAGAAAGCAAGAGGTATTTTGTTCCTGACATCATCAATTAGTTCGCGCCTTTCATCTTGAAATGACGTTGATCAGGTATCCGATCGTTTAGCCCCCAAGTTGGTGAGCCCTGAGCCGGTAAGCCCCCTAACCAGAATTCAAAACCACTGACCATTTCTCGTTCTTTAAGCGTGAATACAAGAGTGGATGCTGGGGCGAACTGGATTTGGTGCAAAGCCCTCTAAAATTCACTATCTCGATGATTCATGGAATTTTTGTTTTTTT